AGCGTAGCCTTTTTGATGACATTATGTAGAAAGTTTCAGTTTGAGTACTGAAATTGTTAATTTCAGAGTGCTTTTAAAGATACTTAATCAGTGTGGTATTTTATGTAAGGAGGAGGAGGTAGCCTTTTCTCACTTCTGAATGGTTAGGAAAAGTTATATAAAGGTAATTAAATGTTTCTCTAAATTTAAGCTTACTTTTTGTTTGTTTATTTATTTATTTTGAGATAGAGTCTCACTATGTAGTTCAGGGTGGCGTTGAACTCTGTATAGCCCAGTCTGGCCAAGAAGTCATGACAGTCCTCCTGTCTCAGCCTCAGCTGGCTAATTTAAACTTTAAGAATCAAGTTTTTAAAAAGAGCTGGAAGCTTGAAATAGAAAATACTGTATTATGATTAACTTTTTTCTAGCAGATTAGTTAGCGAACTTAAGTATATATATGTATGGAACTTTTTAAAGTTCAAATAAAGTAACTTATTTGATAAAGATTTTTCTTACCAACTCTCTGCTTTTATAGACTGAGATTGCATTTCATTAGTGTACAAAAATGGCTTTTTAAAAAAGATAATGCATAATATTGTGTTACTTTGGTAATATCTCAAGTAGATATATATTAAATGTTCAAGGCATACTTATATTTAATGAAGGGAAATAAAGTCCTGTCCTTTAAAAACAAAAACTACAACTGAGAGAGCTCTTGTGAATTACCAAAGCAAGACAAGAATACTTGTAGCCAGTTAGTTGCTGGCTCTGGCGATTGAAGTAAGAATCATGTCTCCTTAATAAACATTAGTTTTATTATATGTAAGATTAGCCCAGTTTACTTACCTTGTGCTCTTTGGACTGTATTTCCCACTCCCATTTGATATGTGCACAATACTTTGCTTTTTAGAATAGGAGTGAGTGGGGGTGTAACGGGAGAAAAAAGATAGCATTTGGAGGATTGCCTCGTTTTAAGTCGAAGCCATCTCTGAAATAACATAAACTAAAAAGAAATAAGGTGATTCTTGGTATAAAAAATTGTTATTTTTATTCTTTCTGATTTTAAAAATCATGGTTTAGAACAATCTAGACCAACTTAAAAATTAACAGTTATAAAAAATACAGATTTCCCAACAAGAATACCATGAACAAGTGCTTAAAACTGTAATTGTTTATTTTCAGCAAGTTTCTCTTTTTTTATCTCAGTTGTCATCCTATCCCCTGCAACTGGGAGATAGAACCAAGGTGTCCTGTACCACTGAGTCATATCCCTAGTCCTTTTCTATTTTTTTATTCAGAGAAGGTTTTGGTGGGTTGCTTAGGCAGGACTTAAAAATCCTCCTATCACAGCCTCTCCAAATACTGGGATTATAGGTATGTGTTACCATGTTCAACTTCCTTGTTGACTTATTTGTAGATTACTTCAGGGCTACTGAAGTTTCATTCTTACTCCATATAACTTACTTGATCATCTCTTAATATACAATTTCTTGCTTCTCCACAATTTATTCAAACACTGTTTCATACTATATTTGATCATACTAATTTTTTGATGAGAGCTGACTAGTCAAATTGTTGGTCTTATAAGGCACTAGTTGCACCTGAGTGTTTTTATTGATGTATGGAAATATCTGTACTTCAAAGGGTAGCCATTATCATAGCTATAGGTTAAGAAAATAACATAACCTAATCGATTTGAATTACATTATGCACAATTTTGGTTTTGTACTATCATATGTATTTTGTTCAATTTCTGTTTCTACTTGTAAATAGAAATTACTGTTTGTAAAAATGAATGTATATATATTTGCATAAATAAGGCCAATAAAAGGCTTATTTCTTTAAGAAAGTCAAAAATAAAAGCAAGTTCAAGAGAATTTTTGGAGGGGGCAGGACAGGAATTGAACTCAGGACCTTGTACTTTCTAGGCAGGCTCTTTGCCTCTGAGCTATATCCTTGGCCCCTAAGAGAATTTTATTTCCTTTTTAACCCTAAGCTTTATTATCTATCATTGCCAATTGCCTTAAACTAGCTTGGATCAGCAAACATAATAATTCAGAGCTCTTTCAATCTACATAAGACATTTCCTTCCCACTTCCATGAATTTTAGAAGCTGAATTGAGCATATATTATGCATGTGCGTGAGGCAGGAAATCAGAAGCCCAGGATACCTGCTGCTTTCCAGTTGATGTTGAATTCTGGGCTTCTGTTGTTAAATCTTTTTGTTTTTCCAGTGTACCCACGCTGCATTGAAATAAAAGAATCAGTACATGTTTGCTGTATTAATGTGTACAATTTTCTTACCAGTAAGCCAAACACATTCCCCAGCTTCCCTTGAAATGTATGTACTTAGGGCAGAAGGACTATTTTTTCCCTCATGAAACTGTTTCTCTTTTAGCTACTTTTCTGTTAACAACATACCTGTCTTTATGTACGAAGGGGCCGGGGAGATGGCTCAGTGGAATAAGTGCTTCCCTGGCAAGCACAAGGGCCTGAGTTCAAGCCCTGGTTCCAGGAAAAAAAAAAAAAAAAAAAAAAAAAAAGTACGTACGAAGCCTAATTATATAGGAAAGTCCAATTTGTTTACCACCTGTGAGATAATTTTTTGCCAGTAATAAATGTTCTACAGATTTAATACATGGTATTTTAGGTAGTTCTTGCCATTATTCTTGTTTGTGAAGTTGTTCTTTAGTCTTATATTGATTTTTGTAGTTTTGTTGTGGTAGCCCTGGGGATTGAAACCCAGGCTGGCTTCCCGCAGAGCAATGTTCCCCACCCCCTTTCTTCTTTCTGAGCCGAGGGCTTCCCACGTGGCCAGGGCGCTGGACCCGAAGCTCTCTTGCCTCAGCCTCCCGCATCGTCAGGATTACAGGCACGCGTCCGTGACGCGCCTGTGTTTTATGTGCTTCTGCTTGTGTATTGAAACAGCAAGACTGATGTAAAATGAGGCAGTCAGCCTCTTACTACCCGAGAGCAATTCATTTTTTTTAGAAGAGCAATAAGGAGCATTCATTAGAGGTAGACACAGGATACTCTGAAGAATAACGTGGGTGCTTAGAGACCTGAGGTGCCGCACAGTTGCCAGCTGAGGATCTTTTGTGTTTTGGGGAGTGGCAATATAATCCAAATAATATAAGGGAACTATCGCTCCCAATTTGTGAACATGCTATATGTCCAGTACAAGTTCATGTTCTCTAAAACAAAAGAATAAATTCTAGGAACAGTGAATGTTAAAAGCAGAAAATGTTGGAGAAAAGAAAGGTATATTTATCGTCTAAGAGAGAGAAAATGGGTTAAGAGTTCCCAAGGACCCCGATTCTCTGGAGAGTTTTATAGAGCAAAACCAGGAGGCGAGGCCAGTCTCAGGTGAGACAGAACTATAATCAGCTAACATTACAAGGGCAATCACTTAGGTAGAATTATCCAAACTAGGTTACTTAGTGGATAACTGAAAATTACCCAACTCTGGATATAACTTTGTGGTGTGTAGAGACTTCAGCACTAACCATTTGGTGTATTATTGGGATTACTGAACTCTGTTTTTTCCTAGATGTATATACCTATGATAGTTCAATATATAAATTGGTCACAGTAGGAAATTAACAGCTAATAAAAATAGCATAATTGTAATAGTATACTAAAATAAAATGTATTTAACTGTAGTCTCTTTCTTGGGAAACTCAGGATAAATACTAACATTTTCAGACTGAAGTTGATTGTAAGTCATTCAAACCATGGAAAGTGAGACTGTCAGACTTGACTGGTTCAAGACTATTGTATTTATTTTATTTTATTTTTTGGCGGAACTGGGGGTTGAACTCAGGCCCTTGCACTTGCCATGTTCTACTGAGCTATCTCCCCAGCTATTGTATTTCATTTAGATCCATGAAAAGTTGGGCCAGCCAAATAGCTCAGCGGATTAAAGCACCTGCAAACAGGTGCAGGAGCTGGGGTGGGAATTTGATCCCCTGGCCTGCCGTGGTGGTACTCACCTGTACTCACCTGTAATCCCAGCTCTTGGGAGGCTGTAAACAGGTGGGTCACTACGAGTCTGATCTAGTAGTGAGACACTGAACACCCTGTAAACCCTTCCCTAAAATAAAAAAAAAAAAAAAATTTATATCCTTGAAAAGTTATGCACATTTCTGTGATTTCTTAAATTATCACTAATTTTGTTTTATTGAAATTTACTGTATCACTGAGACCATATAGGTGATCAGAATTTATATGTATTCTATAAACTTTTCTGAACATACTCCTTCAACTGTGTGTTAATAGATATACAGCACCACTTGGATAATGTATTGGTGTAGCTACTTCACCTGATCTATGCAGTCACTAAAGTGAAATGGAAATAATGAGTTTTTCCTTCACTCTTTTAATAGTGGTAGTTTATTCTCTTACATTTTGTCTGTTTTCCACACATTGGCAACAGCATTTATTTTCAAAGAGCTTACCACTTTACGAAGATTCTAAACTATGGCAGTGAGTACTAGTTAGTATTGCTAGAATAGTGATGAATTTTCTTCTCATTAATCACAGTGCTTATATTTCAAATGTGTCTGATATATCACTGCTAATTTTGTTTTGTTTGTGCACAGTAACTATATTGTGCCCAGCCAATGTAATCCCTTAATTCTTTATGTGTGAATTCATACCCACACGTGTATTCAGCATCCAAAATAGTAATGTAACCAGTTGGAATACTTGGGCTTCGTTTTAACCAATAACTTCCTTAAAGTAAAAAGTTGTTACCATCAACCTAAATCTTTTCATTGCCATATTATGTGGTCGCATTAAATGACCCTACTGTCACACTATTCCTTTTTGTTTTCTTGTAAGAAGCTAAATTGCCACTGTCTACCTCTCATCCTACGTGAATCCACTCCTACAGCCTAATCAGGGGGAAAAAAAAAGGGGGGGGGACCTAGAAGTACTTAATTAGAACTTAGAAGGCAAAGTTGAGAGACCCTGCTTTCACCAATGTGTTTTTGCAGCTGTTTTTTTGTTTTTGATTTTAGGGAGTGAAGCCAGCCAGTTTTGACAAAGTAGCTATTCCTGAAGTGAAGGAAATTATAGAAGGCTGCATAAGACAAAACAAAGATGAGCGGTAAGTTGCCTCGTTTGACTTAGTGTGTTGAAAAAAATCCAAAACACAGTGTCCTCTGAATATAAGACTATCTGATTGATATTTTATACTTGTGATTAGTTTTCTATTTATGCCATGTAATATTTTGAAAGTAGGGTGCTCTTGATTGAAGCCTTTCAAATTATTTGTACTGGGACAGTGTTAAACTATTAAGTGAACCCAGAGCTACCTTAAACACAGTTTCACAGTCAGGGAAAACTGCTTCATAGTATTAGCATGAATTATAAACCTCAGTAGAGTTCATTCCCTAATACAGCAAACCTATGCCTTAGGTTTTATCCATTGAATTTTAAAAAGTAAGATAAAATCTTGGTGCTGGTTTCTTTTTGTTGTGTTGTTGTTGTCATTGTTGTTTTAATCAGAAGGATAAGCAGATTCATTTAGCAGATGCAAAGGACTGCGGCCTTGCTGGGAGGTGCCAAGATTTTTGGTCTTTAAAATCAGTTCAACTATACAGGTCTTGATTTCCTGTCATTATGCCAGAATCAACAAAGAACAAGTCATTAAAATTCTCTGATTTTGAGAGGACTTTCCCAAGGCTTAGGAGGAGATCTGGCTTAGTCATTTATACTCACAGAAAACTTCTCAGAGGAGTGGCAAGTATCTGATGTACTATATAGCTGATTCATCACTCTTTATGCACGGCAGGGATCTATATCTGTTTTTGAAAAATAATCTACCTTCACCATCCCTCATACCTGCCAGAACGGAAAAAGTACACCAATCTAGTACAAATACAAATTGTAAATTGAGAATAATCTACCTCTTGAAGAATGGGAGCTATCAGGTATATCAGCTACACTGAAGAATTCCCTATCTTCACTTCTCTGGTCTCATATTCTTTCTCATTACTTTGTTATTTGGAGTAACTTACCATTATTCTTTTTAAGACATTGTAGGAGATTATTTAGTTTTGGTTTCTATTTTTATATGCATTGAGTCCTTAAATCTGGTTTAAAAACTTTTTTATAAAAGAATATTTGTTTTGGGTTTTAAAACATTTTACTGTTTCTTTTCTGGATGGGAGTTTACTATCTATTTTGGAACCATTATAAAAGAAGATTATAATTAGCTTTCTGCTTCCCTAATCCTTTCTTTCTTTCTTTCTTTCTTTCTTTCTTTCTTTCTTTCTTTCTTTCTTTCTTTCTTTCTTTATTTGGTACAGGATCTCACTATACAGCGTGAACTCTTAGTGATCCTCCTATTTCCAGCCTACCCAGTGCTGGGAATACAGGCATGCACCACCACGCCCGGACTTGGTCACCAGTTTATCATGCCAGGGGGCAGGGCCAATGCGGCATGTGGTACTGGAATCACCCCAGTTCCTGTGCTTGCCTAAGCAGGTGCTTAGTCCACTGAGCTATCCATAAATTGTTGAAAAAGGAATTGAAAGAATTTTATTAGGATAAATAAAAATTGCTATAGTAGGAAGCACTAAAATAAAAAATCAAAACATTTATGATCTTGGTCTGATTCTATTATGCACAAATTTTAGAACTATGAGCAAAATGTCAAGCTTTCTGAGTCTTCTTTCATAGTCATCAGGAGATAATACCTCATCGAATGTTACACAAGGATTAGATATGGTCATAGTAAGAGAAATTTTTTTTTTACTTTTAATTAAAATACTATATGAGTAGTTATGTATTTTTAAGTTTTGATAGGCAATGATTTAAAAGTTGACACTATCTGGTGGTGTACACTTGTGATCCCAGCACTCTATAGAGGCTGAGGCAAGAAGATCAAAAGTTCAGGACATCCTAGAGGATGTAGTTTAAAAAAACTGAGTATGGGAGATAGCTCAGCAGGGTAAGTGCCTGCTTGATAAGCTCAAGGTCCCAAGTTCAGTCCCCAGTACCGCAAAAAAAAAAAAAGGAAATTTTAAAAAGTCATCAGTTCCTACTCAAATCGGATCATTATGATATTGGTAACTTAGGTACAACTCACGAAGTATTCAAGTGGAATAATGTAGAAATAAATTGTAAATCTTCCCTTTCCTTTTCAAGTCCTTTTTAAAGTAAGAATAATTGCTGTATTTTAAAAGTTTTGTCTTTTCAAGCTTTGCATAGTGCTGTGTGCCTGCAGTTCCAGTGTTCAGGAGACTGAGGCTGGAGAACTACCTGAGCCGAGGAATTCAAGATCAACCTGGGCAGTATCAGCATACTGAGACACCATCTCAAAAGAAAAGTCTAAGTTAATGACATCTTGTTTTTGTTTCTTTTTCTTTTCCTTCTCTTTGGAAGATATTCCATCAAAGACCTTTTGAACCATGCCTTCTTCCAGGAAGAAACAGGAGTACGGGTAGAATTAGCAGAAGAAGATGATGGAGAAAAGATAGCTATTAAGTTATGGCTGCGCATTGAAGATATTAAGAAATTAAAGGGAAAGTACAAAGACAATGAAGCTATTGAGTTTTCGTTTGACTTGGAGAGAGATGTGCCAGAAGATGTGGCTCAAGAAATGGTAAATTGGAACTAATCAACTGTTTAAAAGTCCTACAGATTTATATACATTGATACTGTTCAGCAAAAAAAAAAAAAAAAAAAATAGTTTATGAAGTGATGTGTGTGGCATATCCCATTAACATAAAAAGTTTCTTCGTACTTTGTCGCATTGTTCTTATAATGGGTGTGGGATCCTTCTTAAAAGCTGTTTTAGAGGGCTGGGGAGATGGCTCAGTGGAATAAGTGCTTCCCTGGCAAGTGCAAGGGCCTGAGTTCAATCTCCAGTTACGCAAAAAAAAAAAGAAAAAAGAAAGAAAGAAAAGAAAAAGCTGTTTTAGCACTGGGCATGGTGGCACAGACCTGTAATCCCAGCACTCCAAGAGACTAAGGAGGAGGATCACTGTAAGAGGCAAACGGACTATAAAGTGAGTCCAAGGTCAGCCCAAACTGCACAGTGAAACCCTGTCTCAAAAAAAAAAAAAAAAAAAGGCACAAACAAACCCAAAAAGCTGTTTTATTTTTTGGAAAAATATATAAAGAAGGATGAGATAAAGAACCAAGTAGAGGGCCTGGGAAATAGCATGGCGGACTCAGCATTTGCCTGGCAAGCACAAGGATTCAGGTTCAGTCCCCATTAGCACGTGCCATGCCAACCCCAAAACCCCAGGTGCACCATGCCAGTCCTGAAGCCAGGAGCATGGGCCCACAACTATAATCAAAGTGCTAGGGAGGCTGAGACAGGAGGATCACTACAGAAGTGGGGACTTCATAGTGAGATCCTGTACCACATAAATAAATGGTTTTTAATTTTTTTAAAAAAAAAGAATAAAATATATTCTTAGTCATTTTGAAAATCTGTGAAGTTGAGTAACTTCAAATATTTGTAAGTTAGAATGAAAAGTTTTATTTTTAAATATTGGTTAACTTTTGAACCATACAAATCCTATAAACATACTCAATTATACATTTTTTACTTTTTTTTTTTTTGGCACTGATAATCAAACGTAGGACCTTGCACATACCAGGCAGAAGCTTGTGCCACTGAGCTGTGTTCCCGAACTGTTAGTAGGCATCTTCTGTTGTATCCTTATTTCAAGTTTGTATTAAGATCACTTTTCCAAAAGGAAACCATTCATCATGTAGAGGCTTGATACAGTGTCCAAAATAGTTAATTATTTTGCAAAGCTACTCATCAAATATCTCTATTAGGACTTAGAAGAACCATTCAATAGTAGTTGCTCCTGAGAATGGGGCAGGAATAAAAGATTTTTTAGATTATTTATTTGGTACAGGATTCACTACACAGCTCAGACTCATAGCGATCCTCTTGTCACAACCTCCCCAGCTCTGGGATTACAGGCATGTACCACCATGTCCATGTTTTAGTAGCTGGCACGGGATACCTGGAGCCTTGAACTCAGGTTCTTGGACTTGCCAGGCAGGCACTTAGACTGCTAAGCTATCTCCCCAGCCCATTTTTTTTTTTTTTTAAACACTGGTTTTAGGTGCCCCTTTGTTTTGTCTTGAGCAGGAAAGCATATCCACCTGGGAGTTTCTACAAAGATGGTATCACCCACCCACCTACCACAACAGTGGGCAAATGTACAATGCAAACCAATAATTTCAGTTTGATGAAAACCAGTCCTGAAAGTAGTTTGGACTTCCCCTCCTCTACTTTGCTACAATATGGCTTTTGTTTTCTCTTGGTACTCTGTTTTTCTTACCATGCCTTTTTTATTCTATAGGTAGAATCTGGGTATGTTTGTGAAGGTGATCATAAGACTATGGCTAAAGCTATCAAAGACAGAGTGTCATTAATTAAGAGAAAACGAGAACAGCGCCAGTTGGTACGAGAGGAGCAAGAAAAAAGAAAACAGGAAGAGAGCAGTCTTAGACAGCAGGTTGAACAATCAAGTGTGTCCCAGACAGGAATCAAACAGCTCCCTTCTGCTAGCACTGGCGTACCTACTGCTCCTACCACATCAGCTTCAGTTTCTACACAAGTAGAACCAGAAGAGCCTGAGGCAGATCAGCATCAACAGCTACAGTTCCAGCAACCAAGTATATCTGTGTTATGTAAGTATTGGAGGCATAACAGGTATGCTGATGATGTTCCTAATTGGCCTTGCCCCTCAGTGCTAAGGATCAAACTCAAGGCCTCATGCATTCTCAGCAAGTGCTCTGCCACAGACCTAATCCCCAAACTGACTTTTTGTCTTGTTTTGGAGTACAATTACAATTTCAACATATAATAAGGAATTTGAAGTGGTTGAGAGGTACCTTTTTTTGGTTCTTTTAACCATGATTAATAGAATAGAAGGATAAAACATTGAGGAAATGTGATCAGAATATAATTTCAAAATTTGCAATATCTTGGGAGATTCTAATTTATAGATTGTTAGTTTTCATAGTACCTTAAATACAGTTAATGAACAATGAATAAATTTAACTGCTCAAAATTTAAATCTGTTGGTCTGGTTCAACTCTTTCAGCAAAATTAAATAGGATGAAGATTAAAAACTAATGTAGGGGGTGCCGGGGAGATGGCTCA